CCGCATACGGGACATACAAGTAGTAAAATACATAATAAAAAAGGTTTAAAAAGATTACGTTCTACTGTCTCACTCTCTTTTCCCACCAATTACCTACCCTCAAGACACAAGGTGATGATATTCCCGGCCAGTATAAGGGGCCCACTTTAAACTAGCCGGTCCTCTGATTGTGTCTCCTATTTCCTTTATTTTCCCAGATCTCCAAAAAGATAAACCCCCACCCCGGCGTCCTCACTTTCCAAAAATCCAGGACATAACAATAGACATAACACACACCACAAAATCTTAATTTATTCAACGTACTCGCTGCTTCCGCTCTCCTTCACGATCTGCGGCTCCAGACAGCCAACGACTCAAAATACTTGAAAACTTTTTATATTCTTCAGTATGGACAAATTTTGTTAACAGTACATCTGCAAGACATATATTTGTTGAATATAAATTTCCACGGTAACTTCATTCAAAATTTATCTGACATAATTCTAACCATTGATACACATATAAGTTTGTGTTTTACTAAAGTTGCGTTTTCCTACTCCGTTAACCTGTCTTCCAAGGGCAGAATATTTGATTTCAACGTCTTTTGAAATAGTTGCTGTCATTAAGTTCTTTATACACATTTTGATACACTTTTCTCCAAATATTAATGTTCGATAAAAATTTTTCTGTAAATACAAATAAGTTATATCGCGTATAAAAAGTAATAATATATTTAAAATGTTATTCAATAATTACTAAAGCCTTTTTCTTCTCATCAGAGTTTGCAAGTGCCTCTTCAAAAGATAAAAATTCGTCTATTGTTTTTATTGGAAATGTTATCCCTATATCTTGTTGACAAGTTTGAATGTTGTTTGATGTTTCTGAAATGCAATTTGCAATTATTGTACTTTTCAAATCTGTGATTTTCTTATCGAAATCATATAATATGCTCCTTTTTATAGAATTCATTGCTGTTATAATTGTATTTGCATTTTCTTCACATTTTTTATTAATATATTCTATCAAAGATTTTAAAAAATATTTTAAAAAATTTACAATAAATTATGTCCATAATAAATGAAGGCTATATTTCCATAAAGATCCACTTTTTCATTTTCATGAAATTTGATGAAAAGTTTAGCATGTTTTCAAATAAACATATTCATCAAATATTTTGAAAATTAAGGAATGAGTCTTTTTGAAACATTATTTTATAATTTCAATCTTACGTAGATTACTTAGATCATTCTCTAGGTATGTCGTTTCTTCGTTGCTTACTGACGTTGATGGTTCATCTATAACGTATAAATAAGAAGCAGTTTATATTAAGACTGATTTAGTGATTTTATGTATTTATTAGATGGCAAATCAAGAAGATGTATACGCAATTGTACTTTTTCTGCCAAAGAAAAATAACACTGAAAATTTAATAGATTTAATACCATTATCCTGGATTTCTACACACAAAGAAAAAATATAATGTAAATACTCAGAACCTGCTGAATATGAAAAATTATTTTGGTTTGGAATTGGTTGTTAATTTAGTAGAACCCGAAGAGCAGTGGAAATTATTTGATATTGAAATAGTTTCCTATGCACGTAAGTAAACAAGTCTAAAAATATCCCCCCTCCTCTCTCTCTCTCTCTCTCTCTC